GCCACGCTTTGTTTCACTTCCCAAGTTTCTCAGGAAGTGAGTTGTACTTGTAGCTGAGTCAAGCGGTTGCACTGTGTGGCAGGTGGCACAAGAAGCCGATCTCAAAGAACGCTATCGGCAGGAGATGAATCGGTCGGGGTGAGTCATTTATGCAGGGGGGCCCTGTTTATTCGACCCCCAACTTGCTTTGGGCCATCAACCAAGAGATCAAATGGAGGTCAAACAACAGTTTAGTTTCAAATGAAAACCTTTCAAAAGCAAACCATGAGGAGGTTGGTTGCAATGATAGCGGTTGCAATATGATTCATAGTCAAACAAGGGGCCGGCCCAGCCCGATCACTCGGTGGAGCTTTGGATGGCATCTGCTTGATGTCCCGAACTGTGATTGACATGTTCGGAATCCTTGCTCTGCTTTGGGCTCCGGGGTGCCCGTTTGAAGTTTGACTATGTCTGAGGGCTTTATGTTTGTGCATGCGTGGATTTGTACAGACCTGATTCCGGTTTCGTAAGACTCCTTCTGATTGGACATGATCCTGGCATTGGTTGGAGTACAGGCTCGTTTTAAACGGTGTTTGAATGAGCATTTGCCAGCACCCTCCGACTACTGCCCAAGCGGCAGTAGATAGAAATTTCCCAAAAAACGACCGTAGTTAGAAAAACTACTGTCAAATATTTTATTTGTGGAATGCCCATAGTCTAAGTACTGCTAGCTACTGTTTACAGCGGGGAGATGCCATAGCGGGGGTGGTGGCAATCAAGGGGTGGCAGCAAGTGCAGCAAGCGCCTCACAGCGTGTCACCCCCTGCCACCCCGTGTCACCTGCGTGTCACCTGCGTGTCACCCCGTGTCGCCCCCGTGTCGCCCCTGTGTCACCCCGTGTCGCCCGCGTGTCGCCACCCCCAGAACGACAGTAGATCGCTGCGAACTACTGTCGTTTGAGCGTGTCACCCCGTGACGCCCCCGTGTCGCCCCCGTTTCGCTCCGTGTCGCCCCCGTGTCGCCCCCGTGTCGCCCCGTGTCGCCCCCGTGTCACCCCGTGTCGCCTGCGTGTCACCCCGTGTCGCCTGTGTGTCACCCCATGTCACCGTGTCACCCCGTGGTCTTGTTTTTCATTGTTTGGGGCAACATGAAACGACCGTAGATCGCGGATCTACTGTCGTTTATTTTATTTTCGGAACTACTGCCAAATACCCGGTAGTTCCGAAGATAAAATTTAGACGGTAGTCGGAGGGTGCTGGTGGAGGACTCTTTCCGTATTTGCGGGGTTGATTCAGATTACAGAGCCTTTTTCTAGAAGGCAATATCTGTAACAACCTTCAAAGGGAAACCAGCCGGAAACGTTTAAATCAGCGAGCATGTAACAAGGTCAAATGCCAACCTGGTTCCAAGTTTCGGACTTGAACATGATCCCGTGCCATGTTGGGCACCTTCGGTGCCTGGTTTCTGAGTGGATAATTTGCACATAGCAGGGAATCATATACTCACTTGTCCTTGCACACGTACTCGTGGCAGCTTTCTTTCCGCTTTCCTTTGATTTGCTGCATGTGTGTGTGTGCAACTCGTTCCGTCTCGGCCACAAGATCCGCCAAAGCCGGCCAGGTCCCCATGGCCAAGGTAGTAAGTTTGGAGCCCTCGGTTATAACCCACTGCAACAGAGTTCACGGTGGGTTGTCGCACCCCGAACATCCAAGTACCAGAGCAAGGCACTGGTACATAGAGTCCCCACGAGCCTGAAAAGGGCAACGGTCCACATCCCGAGAGTTGAGAAGGGGCCTAGGGAAGCTGGGCGTATGGGTGCTGCATAAACCGTAATTCTCAATTTACCCAATTCCAAAAACGGGATGAGTAAGTTGTCAAGAATGTCCAAACTCCGGAACTTGCACCAAAAGTGGAGCACGCTCCACTGTGTTGCACTCACCGACTCACTCCTTTCCCAGGAGTTGAATGACCTCCGGCGGGGCCAGACGCCTCGGTAGCGCTGAGCTCGGGGAGCGGATCGAGCGGACCGTTTTGATCCTTTTTGCCCTCGGCACAATGCCGATACTTTGGTGCATGTTGCTTGGATGTTAGGACTTTAACCTTTTGCCAACTAACGGGTTTTCCATGAAACCACTAGAAGTTAAACTCTTAGCAGGGGAGCAGCAAGCAACCGAGTATAGTTGTTCCCCCAAGCCCTAAATTCGGCCAGACGTGGCTGACACTTTGGCGGCGTTAGCCCGCTCTTGGCCTGCAGCACAACCTCACTTGTTGCAGCGGGTCTGGCCAAGTTTTTCGCAATTGAGACCACCTTTACAAGAGTTTCTAGAAAGGGAACTGTGGCCAACAGGCGTTTTGACCACACAGAATTGTTTGACTGACACCACTTCAGTTCAGTGACCCCTGGGTTCATGCCGAGACCGGCTCTGGGGTCCCCACGTGTCTTTTCTGAAATAGGGGTCTCTATATACTTTCTGAGGCCCGAGCATAATTTCACAGACAAGCGGCAAGAACGCTGCCATCAATCAGGAGGAAAACAGGGTCGCACATAGTCAAACCATTACCAAGTGTCCCAAATGAGTGCTATAGGCTATGTGTATTGTACCCCCAGAATGGTTTTCCACCCCAATGGTACCCTCAAATATTCCAAGCGCCGCGCTCACCGCTGAATTGGAAGCTTCCCTCCGAATTTGAGTTGCGCGGTGGCAGGGACTTTCCAAGAGCGTGGACAATGTACCCGACGGCAAAGCGGATTTTAGGTGCCAAAAGGGGACCCTGGGCGTTCCGATTGCTGTTACTCAACCCCTGCAACTGTTAAGCAGAGCAAGCTTCCGACCCATCCATTTTGGGTCTCTGATTTTGAAGCCCTTGCCCTCCATTCTCAGCCCTTTCTCTTGCCGTGACTTGAATGTTCCGCAGCCACACGCCTTGGAGCAAGCGGGCGTCCTTGCCATCGCTGCATTTGATAATGTCTGCAAGTGTTTGGCCACCCGCGGAGAGGTGTCCGATCTGGTGCTATTGACATTCACCCACAGTGTTTGGTGTGGGTTTCTTTACGATCCATGCTTCATGCCCCTCATTCTGACTCAGCTCTTAATACAATATAAGCATTATGTTTTACTGTGTTAGGACGAACTCATTCCATAAAATGAGGGGCTCACGTGTCCTTTGCGGGATCAGCATATGCTGACCCCTATCAACCCGAAGGTGGCCTGGTCACTCAGAATTCACCGCGGACGCCAGGCGGCCCAAGAAACGGAACTTGGAAGCGTCACTTCAGCGACAGCTTGGCATTGCCAGACTTACCTTGGTGAAGAGCGACACCTCAACGTTGAATTCGGCATTGGGTGAAAGTAGATGGCACGATTCTCTTGAGTGTAGTTATCCCCTTTACCCGTGTAAAGGGAGTTGTGCCACCTCCTTTCAACCTGGTGTATTACCTGACCTTTGCCCTTTTTTGCCATTTTGGTGGTTCATGTTGCCTGTTCATTCATTTTTTTCCTGGAGGGGTGAATTGGATTGGCTGAAATTGGTTGGAATGACTTGGGTTGACTGGATTGATTGTTCACGTTGTTTTGTTCTGTTTTGCTTGCTTCCTTGCTTGCTTGCTTGCTTGCTTCGCCTGCCGGCTTGCCTGCTTGCTGGCTTGCTGGCTTGCTGCTTGTGTTTGTTGTTTTGTTGGCTTGTTTGTTGTCTGTCTGTTTGTTTGCCTGCTGGCATGTTTGCTTGCGTGTCTGTTTGTTTGCTAGTGTTTTTTGTTCGTCGGTTTGCTTGCTTGCTTGCTTTCTTGTTGTCTGTTTGTCTATGTGTGTGTGCCTGTTTGTTTGCTTGCCTGATTGCTTTATTGTTTGTCTGTTTGTCTGTTTGTGTGCCTGTTTGTTTGCCTTCTTTCTTGTTTCTTTGTCTGTCTGTCTGTTTGCGCTTGTTTGTGTTTGTTTGTCTGTCTGCTTGCTTGATTGCTTGTTTGCTTGTTTGTTTGCTTGCTTGATTGCTTGTGTCTTTGTTTGTTTGTGTTTTTCTGGAAGTGTGTGTTTGTTTAATTTCTTGATTGCTCGTTTTCTTGTTTGTTTGTTTGTTTGTTTGTTTGTTTGTTTGTTTGTTTGTTTGTTTGTTTGTTTGTTTGTGTGCTGCTTGTTTGTTTGTTTGTTTGTTTGTCTGTCTGTCTGCCTGCCTGCCTGCCTGCCTGTCTGTCTGTCTGTCTGTTTGTCTGTCTGTCTGTCTGTCTGTCTGTCTGTCTGTCTGTCTGTCTGTCTGTCTGTCTGTCTGCCTGCTTTTTTGTCTGCTTTTTTGTCTGTCTGTTTGCTTGCTGGTTTGTTTGATTGTTTGCTTTCTTGCTCGCTTCTTTGTTTGTTTGTTTGTTTGTTTGTGTATTCTAATCGTGCCGCTCTTAGTAATTGACTCCTTTTAAGGTGTCTGCTTTCAAGCCCGGGGCGAATGGCGCAACGACCTGCACGTGGAAAATGCCTGCTCTCTCACGGCAAAAAAGTATTTGCTGATGCTTTGCGGGCGCAATTGAACTACGTCCAGCGGTGTCCCGTGTGGCCCTTTGTTTCACTTTCGGGAAGGGTGGGTTTCACCAGCAACATGTGCTCATGTGAATCTTTGGAGCCGGCTATCTACACACTGGGACTGCGCGGCTCAAGTTCAAAGCCTGGGCTTCTCGTGTCAAGCCCTGGGGAAGTGAAAGGATTGGGGTTCGACCCTTCCCCCGAAATGGAGGCCCCAAAAATGCAGCCGAAGCTGGGGGCCTCCTCCAACATGGGTATTGTTCGGGTTTTTCGGTGTACCCTAATACCCCCTCAGGTCTCAGCACGCTCGATCGGGGAGCCATCGGAGTTGGGCTTGATTGCGGACTCAACTCCTTTGCCCTTAGGTTCCTTCGAGCTTCCCTTTAACCAGGAAACCGTTGATCATTTTCAGGCCGGATTCCTTTGACGAGTGGTGGCACCAATTCTATGTTCGCAACTTGTGGCATGGGTTTGCCCTGATGTTTTAGGGAGTTCAAGGCAATCCATTGGGCGCCCATGGACCGCCATGGTGCCACAGCTTGCCGCTTGCCAAACCTGGCTTCCAGCGAGGCCCGGATGGAGGTCTCGGGGGTAGCTCGGGTGAGCTCACCGGGGGGATCGAGTTTTTGTACATGGTCTTTTGAAACCAAAAAGCAATGAGCGATCTTAGCCGCATCTGGCAGAATGGGACGTGGGTACTTCTTGCTAGCCGTTCCAACCAAAAAAAACGCGGACTCTTCCAGGACAGTTTGGCTGGTCGCTCGTCAAAATCGGCAAAACCAGCCTTCGGTGCGGCTTGCGGGGCCGCGATGTTTAATACGTCCCAGGGACTAGCAAGATTTGTTATAGGCTAAATAATCATGATGATGACAATAATAATGATAATGACAATACTAATAATGATAAACAAAACACAAACATGATTCTCCCATAGTCATGAGGTAGTTTTGTAATACTACCCCACACCCCATTCCCCTTAAACAAATACACCCAGAGATTGATCCAGATGCCAACAGTCCAAGTCTATCGCGAAGATCAGTCACTCACTCGGGCTGGCCTGTCGGGCGTATTCAATTCCGCCGAGTGTCACCGTCCAACGGTACCCCTCAGTTCTCGGAGCTTTTCAATATTTGGGAAGACCATTTCAGAGACAAACAGACAGTTTGGACTTGGCCAATGATCTCATGAGATTAGGGGCATTTGTCTTGGCTTTCTTTGCATAAACACCACATATGATCAAGTGCGCCCCTCACCCCCAACCCCCCAACAAGATTATTTCGCCTGTACAGGGAAACATATTTGTAAATAGGGCGCTGCTTCCCGGCGTCAAGTGTCCTTTGGGCCCCTGGCAAAGGTCGAATTGTGTTTCTTGTTCAATTGGTTTTAGTACGAGCTTTGTGCTCCTAGGGTAGGTCGGATTTCGTTTCGCGTTCATTTGCTTTCAGCACTAACTTCAACAAACAGTAAGCACCGCTGTTGTTCAGTTCCGCTTAGCACACAAGTAGTAGAAGCCTTAGAAACAATCAGTTTTCTTGAATGCCCCCCGACACTCATGTTGTGGGCCAGGCATTGGCTGGTTCGCATGGGTGTATAATAGCAGGGGCATACGAGACAACCTCACTGCAGCGTTCAATTGCACACCGGGTGCATCAGAGATCTTCGATTTCATTGTCACGACATCAGAGCGATCCAAGTTTAATCCCCACACCAACAAGGGCGGGAAAGTCTTGGTGCTACAGAATCTCTTGATGATAGGCTTGCGAACAGCTTTCATTTGCGCCGATGGCGACCAAGTTCTCGACAATATCATCGTTCGACAGATGCAGAATCAGATTTCAGGCATTCACAAGACGGAAGCCATCAGCCGATAACTCAATTCGGTCGGTCGGATTTCTTGAGGATTGTGTGAGACATTGGCCGGAGTGTGCCACAAAGGTGCAAATAGGCATTGCGGTAGTGAGCTATTTTAGAAATCGTGTAAATGCGCAATTAAATAACTGTTTACTAACTGAGAAATCATATGGGAGGCCTTGGGGGGGGTTGGACACAAACATGCTTGATTACAACTTATTACTCAGGGAAGCGCTTACGTCAAGCATGACAGCTAACAAAAAGGCATTCGCCATTTTGAGACACCCGCCCTAAATGGATGCTTTTTGGAGAACACGCCAACGATCAGCATCTTGAATCCATACCCAGCGGATCCTGTGAAGCCAGAAGTGTCGGGATCTGTCACTTTTTCGGCTCAGCAAGGGCCATGCCCATCGGTGGAAACATTGCTTTTGTTTGTCCAGTTTGCTGGAGCTTGCCACGAAGTGGAATTACATAGGCTAAGAGTGCCAGGTGCCACTTAGCCCGTTACCATGGCTCATGACCAACTCCCAGTTTCTTGGCGAGGCTCCCCCCGCGTCTCTTTTGCGCGTTTGCAGGCCCTTTTTTAGGATGCTTCCAGTACCCCCAAAAAACATCCGCAAGGGCTTCAAGGTGCTACAGAGCTGGTTTGGCTTTGCCAGGAATTTGAATCCAGCAGACCCCTATTTGGGTTGGCGTCACACTACGAAAATGCTGTTTTCCTTTCAACCAACCCGAAACGGGTACCCTCCAAAAAAGCACAGACCCAATGCGGTCTGTCATCTTGTGAAGGTACCCTTTTTTGGATTAGTTTACAGGGAACCTGAAGGGAAACCACCTGTTTCAGAGTGCCCCTAAAGAAACTCATGTTGTTTCCGAAAGCATCGTGCGAGCGCTAGGAGCCGCCTTTGAAGCGGGCGAGGCCTGTGTCGGGATCGCTTCGGGCTGTGCTCTTCGACTTTGATGCCACGCTGACGGTGCGGGAGGAGCGCGGAAGGAGCGCGACGCAGCGCGAGAAGTGGGTGTTGTCCTAGGTATCGGGCAGGCTCCCCTAAGGTGGAAACATGTGGAATCCCATGTTGAGGGGTTTTCACATACTGTTGTTATTTCCCTGATTAAGCCCACCATGTGTTTATGGTGGAGGGGTTCGCTTTAGAATCCGCCAACCACAAAAGGGACTAGGTTTCTTGTTTTGTTTTTTCTTCGGGGCTCGGCGAAACGGCGAAACAGAATGGGTTCTGCCTATGAGCAGCGAGGTAAAACGAGCTCACTGTGAAGGTCTTTTCCTTGAGGATTGCTTTGTGTCAATTACACAAATTGGGGGGGGGGGGTTGGTGTCCTTACTTTAGGTGTTCGCCCAAGCCAAGTTTTTAGTAGCGTAGGTTGCAACCTACTTATATACGTCCCTCTAAATGGAGTTCGCCCTGGAAATCGTGGGTTATCATCCAACTTGTCCAAGAATACGTGTAGGGTTAGGACGCCTTGGGGAAGCCTGGTGTTGATGGAATATTTCCTGCGCCACAAATGAGAGCAGTCTTATGCGCTCCCAACTTAAGATTGGATCTTAGCACGATACACCAGCCCAAGTTACGAAGATCCTGCTGAAAATTTCACTGGAGCACCGGGCTGTAGGTGTTCGACCCCGAGTTGAGCGAGTCTTTGGCCGTTGCCACCTGTTTGAATATGTATTTTAACGCTCTCCTTGTCAGCTTTTGCACCGGCAACTCTGTTGCAGGTTCAGTAGATTCCATCCTCTCAATCCCTGTCCGGTAGGTTGGGTGTTGGCTTGGAACCCGACGCGAAAACAAAAAGGGGGATCCTGAACCCCAAATCGCCGGTTGTCTTTTTGTCCCGGGGCCTTTAAGACTGGAAGCCAACCTGAAAAGGTTATGGGTCAAAAGTTTTGCTCCCAGGGCAACGCAGGTTTTAGTCCTTCGTCCATTTACCCATTTTGGGAATCTTCTTGAGCCACAGCCAAAAGGGCACTCACTAAAAGCACCAGGAGATCCCGGGCTGGCGGCTCTTCCCCTCCAGGGGCGGCTTCCAGCGCTGTGAGGAAGCCGACGTCGCCGTGGCCCCAAAGCATCACAGCCACGCTCAAAGCATGATAAGGGACAATCCCGACCACAAGTTAGTGCGGTCGCCCTTTCTATTCGTTGCATCTTTGGGATAGTCCAGTTGATTGTTTGTGCTAGGTTGCTTCATTGACTCACTTGGAGCAGCTGGAATATTGGCCGCGGCCAGGAGTTTGGTGCCCTTTTCGATAGAAGGGGCTAAATGATGGCGCGCGATCACGTTCTTCTTGCGAACATTGCTCTGTTTGGTTTCAACGTCACCCACAACCCCCTTCTAGTTCTTGGGGTTGTGTCAAGTTAGGGGCCCCCAAAACTTGTTGTTTTCCCTTTAAAGCAACCTTTAAGCAGGGGGCTTCCTCACCATCCCAAAAAAGGGGCCACCCCACCAAACGAACAGCCTCCCCTCAATGGGGTTTGCACGAGGCCTGGCTCCGGCGCTGCGGCGGCTCGGCACCGAAAACTCCTGGGGCCCCCGAATCTCTTTTTGGAGTTCCTCCCATGAAATTGCAGGAGTTGAAGAGGAGTGAAGAGGAGAAAGAAGACATGTTGGGGGTCCCCCTACTTGGAGAAACCCAGCCAAGGGAGTGCAAGTGACACCTTGAAGCTGATCCTCTAGGTTGCGATGAAATGCCCCTCTACTCCAAGTGTGATTTTGGCAGCCAGCTAAATCGGTCAACACTTCATTGCCTCCTTTGCTTCTTTTGGACATTACCTTGTGATTGTCAATGTCCAAAGGATATATTCTCTAGGCGGGGTGTTTCTTTGAAGAGCAAGAGAGACCCCTATGAGGTGGCACCCTGCCTTTGAAGTGACATCACTTTTCAGTGCGCTCGCAATGAGAATAAAGTTGCGTGTCATCCTCTTTGCTACAGAAGCGAGCCATGAATATTGACAATTGCTCAACCAAGAATGGTTGGGTGTCCCCATCTTAAATTATTATGTTTGTTGAAGAGACACCCACACAGCAAGAACGCCCAGCGTTTGCGAGGATGCGGCATTTTAGCCTACATGCGGAAAGGGAAGCCCCGGGCCTTTGACGAAAACGTGAATGCTGGGATTCGACATGAACTTGGTTTCATTTCGACGTCTGTTTAGAATGGGCCCAAACGGCTTCCCTGACTTGGCGTTTTGGCACAAGACACATGATTGCCTGCCAATAAAGGCGCTAGTTCTTGCAAAAGGGGGGTTGGGTTGTCAATCAGAGATCGGTGTTACTCCTTGCAACTGGAACCTTTCCAAGTCAATTAGAAGCGGCATCGAGTATTTCACTTGTGCTGGGTGCGAACCTTACCCTTCATTGGTGCTTCGGATTGGTTGGGATTCGGACCTTTGGTTGCTCTTGACCACACAGGAAAGCTCCACAAAAACAATCCAAGCCGCTGCAGGGGACCGGAAAAATTATAGTGGGATAGGTGATCCTGAAAATGGGTATGCTTGCCCCGTCCCTTTAAGCCGGCTGGCGGGTTTAACCAATGTAGGCTTTGGTATCCCTTTAAACACAAGCCCTAAGAGGTTTACCAGGCCACCTCCATTCCTGTCCAATAGTTTGGTGACCCCCGTTGCCCATTTGCGCAGTCATTGGGGGGAACTGGCAACCATTGCTGCGGCTGTGTACCATTTTGTTTGGAGGGAGGCCAAAAAGGAATTCGACTCTTTTGGGCTTCCCCCTATCTTAAGACAAACCCATCCGTAGCACCTTCCTGCAGTATCGCGTGCTTTTGCGAGCTCACTCAGGGGTAGAACGAGCTCCCCCATGGTGAAGCTTCTTGCTTGTGGATCATCCCTTATTTCAGGTTGGGAATTACTACAACAATTGCAGATCCATGGAAGCGTCTGGCAGCTTTGGTTGTTGAGCCACCTTTTGGCGCAAGCAACCGCAAAATAGCTCAGCATGGCACACACACACACACACCAGCAAATGACCGCTAAAAGTGCACAAATCAGCAGCAAGCGTCCTTAAAAGGCATCACACCAACACAAACGCCCAAAGAACACCTGGACCAAAACGCCCAGAAATGTCTAGGAGTTGGAAGGTCTAAGTTGAAAAGGATACCCTCAAGGCACACACCCATCCCACAAGCAAACCCATCCTTGAGACCAACCCATTTGCATGACGATCCGCTGAGGCTTCGGGGGTTCCGAGCGTTTGGCCCAGCTACGGCAGGCCGGGGAAACCACCAGCAGTCGGTGTCGATGGGATCTGGAAGCTCGATTTGGGGGCGGTGTGCCCTTCGGTTTCCGTCTAAACCAAAGGAAAACAGGTAAAAAAGGTCAACTTAGAGATACGCGTGTATCTTTTTTCGTGCGCTTTTTAGTGCACGGAAGATGGGGATTGCTCAAGCCAGCGCCAGGAGGTGGTTTGAGTTCAAGAAACCCGGCGAAGGCGAAAGGGACACCAAAGCAGAAGGGGAAGACTTTGATTCAAAGGGAAGCCAGAGGCCTTTTCGGAAAAGGGGACTGAAAAGGTAAGCAAAAAGAGAGAGCCCACAAGAATTTCCGAATGGGAAACCCAACCGGGACATTTGACCATTGTTTCAAGTCGAAGGAGAAAGCCTTCAGTGAAAAGGAAGCCGACACAGGTTGTTGAAACAATGGGCACTAGGCCTCTTTAAAGGGACGCCACAATGATAAGACAAGCAACCTCGCTCCGCTTTCCAGGGAAACCAAAAGGGCTGTCACAGTTCTCGCAGAGAAACCCAAAGGAGGCTATTGACCATTTAAAAGTCTTTCCAAAGAACAAGCCGTTGACGCTTATCACGCGGGACACTCTGTTGTTCAGGCTTTGGACATATTGTAAACTTGGCAGATCTGTTCAAGTACGTCCTGTTAGGATGCGGTTTTGAAGCATTCGTTCAGTTTCCTTGCGGGGTGTGTTGTTCAGCTCAGAGTGGTCCTTTGAGAGACATGAGACGACCTTAATTGCCTGGTCCAATTAATTGTCGATGTCCTTTTGGCAGGTCTTCCAAACTCCTCCCAACAAAATCGGCAAAAGGGCTGCCCAAGGTCATGTGGAACATGGGATTTGTGGTTGCCGCTAAACTGTGAGCTTAAGCTGGCAACAGGAAAGTGCAGACTTTCTTCATACCTCTGGCCCCAATGCAAAAATCGGCAAAATGACGTTAGTACTTTTTTGTTTTTGGGCAACAAAGCCAGGGCCAGCCCAACAATCATGTCCACGAACAAGGCTTCGGCACACTTCCTTTTGGAGGTTTTCCAAAGAAGCCCCTGTGCGGAAGAGAAGGGACGTCCCTGTGACAGGCTGGACGTGGGCCCCTGTCAAATTGTTCGGTAGTGTATGATCCATTTGGGTTTGGGACATTTGGGAGCTCACTAAATTGCAACCACAAACATCAGGCACCTCACTAAGTTCAACCACAAAAAGTCGGGGGGATTTTCCATGTGGTTGCTAACCCTGCTCCAAAGTGATGCAGGTGGCTCACCCAAATCCCCATGTGGCGAGACTTTTTATGTTGACCGCGCCTGTGATTCCCCTGCAGGGTCTGCAGAGCTTGCACAGCCTGAGCGCTGGAGCCTCAGGGCCAACGTGATCCCCTTCCATTTCTCTGTGCATTTCAGCTTGTTTCGTTGCGTCAAAGGCCGGCGGTTTCGCTGATCGCAGGGAAACCAACGGGTGGTTGCTCGAGTTGGCCCAAATCATGCCGGAAGGACCTGCTAGTTTGGAACTCCGGCCTTTGCCACATCTTGCTTGAAAAGCACCCTTCAAAACCGAGGCTGGTTACCTACCATAGTGGCCAGGCAAATTGGTGCCTGCTGTTTTACCCACACGTCTTCCTTTAGACACGTTCTGCCTGCTACAAGCGAAGACCGTTCAAAGCTTGCTGAACTTGGATAGAAACCATGCAAGAGAAGTCCAACTAGTTTTGACGCATGTGCTTCTTTTTTAGGGATGAGATATTACTGTTGTCGCAAAGACAGGCTCTTGCTGGCCCCATGACCCTCCCAATTCCCTGGGGCCCCATAGTCCTTAGCCGCGTTTTCGTTCAATGGCTGAAGGCGAGGCTCTGAATCTGTAGTTGAGGGGGCGGGGTTCTCAGAATAGACGTCCGCGTCCAGCATTTTGAGAAACTGCCATATATGAAGACGACCGCCTTGAGGTCGAGAACCACATCGTGTCTTACGCAGACCGCCGCTCGAAAGAAAGGGGATGGAGCATGCATTGCCGACTTGGGATCACAGAATGGCCCCGGAAGGTGACTATGCCAGCTTTCTTTGTACATTTGACCACCTTCTCCAGTATTTGTCCCCTTCCCTCCTGGTCAAGTTCTGAGCAACCCTGTAGGTTCCGCTGAGTACTGGATGACACGATCACCTTCAAAGCAGAGGCAATGCAAGTACAGGGTGCTTGATAGGGTGTCAAGATCTGAAAGCGGCGAAACGGGACGCCCAGGCTCTACAAGTGGCTGCGGCCTGTGTTTAGCGACCCTCCAACTTGGGATCAACACGAGGGATGATCCGTAGTCTCGTTTAAGTGCAGTATGCTTTTGCTAGCCTAGTGCACGGGGATTTTGGGGATAGCCTTGCAACCTTGATTCAAATGCTGGATGAATACCAGGGCACTTTGGGTCAAACATGTGACGTGCTTGACACATCGAGTTCGATTGCTTACACGAATGGGCTCTTGCAAATTTAGCCTTCGTGTGGACTTGCAAAAAGCTCGATTTCCTCAAGGGGTTTTGTCAGACAGGCGTTCCCACGCTTCTGGACTCTAAGCCTTGCGTCTTTCTCACGAATCCTTGGAACCCTTGGACATCTTGGCCTCTTGGCCCCTTGGATAGTCAAGGGCTTTCGGCCCAAGACCTCAGGAGGTTCGGGGTCCCGGGTCTATCCGAGGAGATGTCATTGAGCGTGCCTTGACTTTGGTGGAGCTCCGGGAGCTTTTCAGCGAGGTCTACGGAGTGCAAGACCTCGGCGCGGGGTCTCGTTGTTGCAGTCGGACCCGACCGATCGTTGGTCTTTTTGTTGGTTGGGTACGCATTGTTGGGTGCTTTTAAAGGTGAACCACGAAGAAGACCGCAACCACATTTTGGGGGTCCCCCCCACAAAAGACACATCCATGTTGGCTCAACTTAATTGGCTCTATGAAGCTACCCTTAGAGTCATGAACCCAAGGATTGGAGCTATCAGCGGCAATAGCAGGCAGGCGAAGACTTTCCGGTTCCAAGTTTGGCTCTGCCCTGCATCGGACGGCGCCTGTGGGCGCGGAGGCATTGGGAGTGAAACAGGCGCTGGCCAATTTGGTCCCAACGGCATCTCTTGGATAGGATAGTCAGACAATGGAAAGTACTCCCTTGCAAGTCAACAACGGATCCCAAGAAGCCATTATCTTTAGAGACCAGATTTTGGCGTCCATGTCACTGAAGATATTGGGTTCCCCAAAGCTCCTGGTCACCAGTCATGTGTGTGTGTGTGTGTGCGTGTGTGGAGCCTGGAGATTCTCTTGAGATTCCTCAATCGAGGTTGTTGAATCACTGTAGCAAGTGCAGATTGGTGACAACCCTTGTGAGCTTGATTATTTAAAGGGGTTATCCAAATCAGAGCTGGGTGTCTTTCCCTCGAAACCTACAACACGAGGCTGTGGTTACCTTGATAATGGTACTTTTTTGGAGGGCAATACTTGACAAATGTTCGATCAAGCATATGTTTTTTTTTTTGGGTATATATTATTTGAGGGGCGAAGACCAAGGCGAGTACCAGAGCAAGGCAGAGTTCATCCACTCGCTCATGCAGAAGAAGGGCTTCGTCTATTCTGATGTTTGGACCTCAGAGAAGCGCCGCTTTAGTAGGTAGAACCAAGAGTCAGAATATGAGCAACTGACGAAGCTACTGGCAAGCTACTGTTAAGAAGGGTCCCCCAAGTTCCCATTTTTGCCCGTGGCTTATCAGGGGGTTGGACCTGCAGATCCCCTGAAAAAGGCCGGTGCGTACTTCTTGTATGGGGAACAGTTGTGGCAATGATGAGGGAGCTGTACGTCTCAGATCCGAGCCCAGTCCGGCAAAACAGATCTCCTCGGCTTGGCAACTGAGGTTTGTCGCATGCCACACGTAGAGGGGAACGGAACGGAGTCAACTGGAACCGATCGACCAGTTGGGAATCTCTCCCAGGCGGCAGCGACTTTCCGTGGCAAGGAAAGAACGCAATAGCCGTAGCCCGTCGGCTTCCAGGCAAGCCCGTATAGCAGATGATCAGAGATTTGTTGTTTCCCGTGCTTGCTTTTCACAAAAAAGGAGGTTTTGGCTTTCCTGTGTGGTCAATCTGCCTCGTTTGCTCTTTCTCACTTGATTTTCGCGGTTTTTGTTTTCCTGTGTGGTCAATCTGCCTCGTTTGCTCTTTTTCACTTTCTTTTCGCAGTCTATTATGTCCCTCAAATCCCAACGTAGACATGGATTGACCTTGCAGTCATGACACAATTGGGGGCGGAACCTGTGACAATTGTTGACGACGCGTGAAGGCCACTCCCAGAACTCAATGGGACCCGAAGACAGCTTCGGAGCCCCGAGCCTTCTGGTTTCCCTTCAACCCCAAGAAGGGGCGCCTTGTGAATTTTGCCCATCATTCGGCTTAGCGGCAAAAACTCTACTGGCCTTCATGAGGTTCTTCTGGTGGACGACCAGCAGAAAAACATCGTGTCTCGGCTGTGAGCGCGGAAGTCACCCGAACCCTGTGCGCCAAGTAACGGGGTTCGGATTTGATTGCTTTTGGGCGTGGGAAACTCTTTAAACCACCACGCAGAGGGTATTTCGAGAATGTCACTATGGACTCAGTGACGCTGTTCCATGGCACCCGGGAGGAATGTTCGTTTGGTGGGCTCCTCGCTAAAAATGGCCTCTCCCACACAGAGGAGTTCATTGGGCAATCTTCTGCTACGGCCGCAATAAAAGCTGCTTCGGGTCGAAGGTTAGTGCATAGTCCTTGGGCACGGATGTGGATACTTGCTCTTTGATTCTTCACATGGATTTGGGTAGACTTACTCCTTTGGGCCCTCACGCTTTTGGCCAAGAAGTGTTGTAGTGGCTCAAGAGGACACATTCTGCGAACTTCCTGCGGGGTTGCAAAACGAATGTTCACCTTTGTGCTTTGCGTTTTGCCCATTAATAGTGCGCCCATCGCACAACGAGAAGCATCCGCCGGCAAATGCGTGCTACAGCTTGCGAGAACAGCCCGGCACTCCACAGCAGCCACAAAGTAATGCTGGGTGTACTTTTGGCTTCTCTTTAAGCCAACCAAAACGAAAGAGCCCCAGCTCCAGCTCATGTTTGTGGAAGTGCTTGTCAGGCTTTCAGCCGAGGCATGGCGCAGTGCCAGCGCAATTGCAGTCTTGAATATGAGACTACTGTTTTGTGTTTTTTTGCTACTGGTAGGCGCCGCTACAGCTGATCCTGTTCAACTCGAGCACTGCAACGGGCTACAGGTTCCTGCCAGTGCCCACGCGGATGGAACTGCAATTCGCAGGATCACTTCTTCCAATGTAGTATGCCCAGTATCAGGTGTTTCCATCCGCTGTACAAGACCAGTCTCAAGAATGGGCTACTACAATTATGTACAATGTGGTGGTGGGAAATTGCATAGTGAAACTCTGTGGTTTCCAAAAGCACTCCACCCAAGCCTTTCTGCATCCAAAGGCTGTGATGGCTGGCCCTTTCCACTCGACGGCGATCAAACCATCCCGTGGTCTTTGGAGTGATGTGTCTTGTATGTGCAACGCGTCTAAGCGATACAGCTCTGCTTTCGTTTTCTTGCGACGATCTTTGGACGCCCAACTTGTCCACTGTCACCCTCTCTTTCTGTTGGGGTGGACTTGCCTCTCAAGCAGCAGAAAGAGCAACCATGCACCAACAAGTGGCTGCGTGTTTTTTGAGGCTACTATTCAAGGTCGCTAAATGGACGCTTACCATTTTGGGGTCCCCGCATTTCTACGCATACCCAATGGGCATTGTTTTCCTTTGCTTCTGGGAGGGCTGGATGTCGTTCCAAGTTCGACCAAACCTAAGGACAAGGTCCCAGCGAGTGACTTGCTCAGGATGAGGCCGCTGGCTTCTGCATGACGCTCAAGACGAGGCAAGGAAGGAACTCCCAAACGGTACTCAGGTTGGGGGGGGGGTGAATCTTGAAGGCACTTGGCCCCTCGACTGAGCCTCACAGGTTCTCAGATCCCTTCCGCATAGCCCCGATTTTCCCTTGTCCCTTATTGTGAATGGGCCGCATGTTTGGGCCAATGCAATCGACTCACAAATGATTGGATTTGCGAGCGAGAACCCATGATGAAGTCTCCTTTCCTAAAAGAAACTCTTGTTTTCTTTGCATGGATTTTTTGAAGAATTCCCTAGACGGTTTGGAAGTGGTCGTGAGTCATAAGTGGTCCTTGTTAATGTGGCGAAAGGTTTCGGTATGTTGCGTACGTGCGGTGGCCTGGCTCAGCGACACCGCCCCTGGCGCTTGCAGCTCGCACAAGCGCCTCGGCATAAGATGTCCATGCGACAGCCGCTCACAAGGCCTAGGCCAAAAAGGTATGGTTTGAGAAGAGCGCCAGAATGATCCATCAATATTTTGACAGCTACCGGCAGAAGTGCAGGTATTAACGCTCATTTCAACCCATTCTTGTTGGAGATGCTCTGGGCTGACGGGCTCGCAATATAAGCATCTGCCTCGCGTATTTCAGCCGACGCTTCCAAGGGATCTTCGAGCCAGACGCCTCCGCACTGTACCCCACCGATTGGCTCGTACTCTTCTTTCTTGTAATTTCAGAGTCCAAGAAACCAGCTCCAGGAAAGTCTGTGAGCCAAACAACTGTCCAATTCGCAAAGCCCGGGGTTTGGGGCTTGTTTAGCTAGATATTCCTGATGGTTTCTTTGCCTCGATTTCAGCGCCAGGGAGCGCGGCATGACAAGTGAGGACATGGACCAAGTCCTGCAGGCGCGGCCACTTTCTGTGATGTCCAGGGACCCTTTATTAAAGAGATAGAGTGGTCACAGGAATGACCCACTTATGCTTGTCCACATCCACGGAACTCAGTGCATAGGCAGAATCATCCTGACGGCTGTTACGCGTGTGGGTCTTTCCTTTTGGCTCTCACCCTTGAACAGCAGGGATTTTGAGTTGGCCCTGTCGCACCAGCAAGACCAGATGGTGGGTTCTATCTAAACTTAAACCAGCCAGTCACAACTTTTGCCAGGGCAAGGGACAGGCCTCGATCCAATGACTTTTGAGCTGCTGTCCTGCAACTTGGGCGGCTTAAGGAGCGCGCAAAACGGACACGTAGGTTTGTGTCCAATGTGAGAAACTCCAAAGATGATCGGGGGAGCCCATTAAAAGGGAAGCCAGACTGCTTTTAGAGGAAACCCTCTCATATTTATCCGCAAGGTGTGTTAATCTGGGATTGTCATTGCAACATTGCGAATGCATTAACCTAAGATCGGCCACTGTATAAAGGTCTGGGTGAATTATCTCATGATGAAGCCGGTCCCGGTTCATGGCCACTCGGCTCCCCAACCCAGGGTGGCGTCTACAAACCTGTTCCTCGTGGACACAGGGGGTGGCATTCGCGAAATTGAGCTTCTCCGGGAGTGGCTTTGTGGAACTCTTCGGACGCCTGTTGTTGAGCTGCACTTGTGCGCTTTTTGCTTGCCGCTTTCGGAAGTGGGACGCGACGTGAGTTGCAGGGCATTGTGGAGAGCACGGAGTTCCTGATCCATCCATGTTTGGGGGCTCACGCCCCATCGTGCGGTTGCTGCGGTGGCAGCGGAGGACCGAAGCCTGATGTGGCTCTTCCCTGCCTGTGCTCCTGTACACGGTGTCGCCCCCGTGTCCGCAGTGGAGGATGAAGCGGATCGAGCCTGGGTTGCCCAATACCAGCAGCTGCGAGGCTGCATTCCTTGCATGGGCAGGCTGCTGGAGCGTCCTGCGAAAAAGGTACTGTAGTAGTCGGTTGGCGATTCGCAATCGCCCCGACTGTGGCGGCCGAGAAGGTTGGGTTGAGCCACCACTCTTTTGAGTTGGCCGATCCCGAAATGATAGCGCAGCAGCGTTGTCTACCATGACTGCGCATGGTTTTGTCCTCCACTTGACTCGTTGCCGGGTGCGCTGGCGTCCGTGTGTTGTTGCACCTATGCTGCACCTAAGTTGCATGCGGGAGGCAGCTCAAACTTGATGCCACGGATGCCCTGATAGGTCAGCGCTTTGGCTTTGCATCTCAGGTGTAGCGGGCCGGTGCCCGGCCTCTTGGCTGAAAGTTACAAGCTTGCCGACACAGTGGTGTCATGGTTGGGGCGCACGTCACTCGCCGCGCGGATGGTTCGCCTAGCAACGCGTGGCTGGACCAAAGTCATGGCCAACCGTGCCGCCAGACATCAAGTTTAGCTTCAACTTCCCCCGTGCCTCTTGCGTGCCTTGCCAAAGTCCCTGGTTGAGGGTCCTGATGAAGGGAGTGATCCCCCTCCGGTCAAGACATGACGCTTGCTTTGTGAATGATGCGGCGCGGGTTGCGCCGCCCAGCCTGCCGAAGTAACGTGGTCCCTTTGCTCGGGGCTGTAAGATAGCGGCCACGGCAAATCGTGCCGCGCGTGTGGGCTGCCCAGGGATTAGGCTTTTGAGGCATCCTATCTCTTTTTGGTAGTAGACCAGCGTGTTTCCAGTAGGGCTCACCCCGCGACAGCGACATGAAGGCTCCTTTCAAAAACACTATGATTTCAGGTTGGCAAGTCATTAGTTATCATTCACCCAGACAGGCCGTGTGCACTGTTGCTGCTTGCATGTTTGGACCTCTGTTTTGTATCCTTTGGTGGACCACCTGCTTATTCGGCGGAGCAGGAGTTGCTCCCTGACACATCAAAAGGGTCGTGTCCCGCACGTATGAATGGTTGAGGTTATTGAGTCATTTACATAAAGGATACGGCTTGGATGCGAAACCCTGCTGTCGACCAATCCAGAGTCAATAAACCCTGGTTGTCGTTTTTCTGTAGAGGGTGTCCCACGTAGGGGATCCAAATCACTTTTGGCAAGAAACCCGCAACAATCCACCAGGTTCTACTGAAGTCCGGGGTAGTGGGTTACCCAGGTGGCTGGCAACTTTGTTGGCCAAATGTCCAAGTACCGTGTTTGTTTCTTCCGCCAAACTTGCTGAGAAATCCGACCCAACTATTGCAGGTGAAAGCCAGCGGCGAAAAAATGCGCCTGTAAGCGATGCGCTCCAACCGTGGCTCCGTTGGTGTTTTCAAGTGGGTCAACATGAGTCAACCAACGCAATGGAGCTTGGACACGTCACTGGGCAGAGCAAACATGGGCAATGGATGGCAATGGCCTGGCTGTTGAAAGGAAAACGGTTGGACAAGCTGAAAGGATGCCTTCTCCACATAAGCTCATCCCCGTCACTTTTGCTGCATCGCCATGGCAAGATGGAACGTTGTTTTGTATCTTGGCATGCCATCAATGATCTGGCGATTGGCTTGGTCAGTTGGCCAGGCCTAGGCATGATTGACTGATTATACACAGGGTGGCTATCACAACCCCGCCTAGCACAGCTTCTGATAGAAGAGTCGCAGCCCAAGCCTCATGAGGGCTGGTTAAATCACCCATTGAATTTGTTTCTAGTTGTTCTGTTTTGTTGTTGTTTTGTTTGTTGGGGCGGGGGTTCAACAGCACATTGCTTAGCCTTGCCCGCAGGGAAGAACAAAGGCATGATTGTTGTTTGGACCATTTCTGCCTTGGTTTAAAGGGAGCGCAAGCAATTACACTGTTTCTCATTGCTCATCTCTTTGCAGATCTTTGCAGCAATCATGAACCTGAAGTTTTCCTGTCCACTTCCATGATTGGAGAAGGGTACCTAGTGGCTTGCTTGATGGGGCTTTCATGTTTCAATGGCTATGCCGTTGTGGCTTGCTCATGTAGCTTTTGGTTCACTCTTGGCAGCCAAGGGGTTTCTTCTTGGTCCATATGGAATTCATGAGGGCCTGCATTGCTGCATAAAGCTTTGTTAGCTCGTGGACCACAATTTGGCGAGTTTTTGGGTACTTATTGCCCAGATGACTTCGTCCATGTTTCTTTCAAACGAGCATGAATCAACAAGCTTTCCTGGTGTCACCTGGTGTCACATGACCTCGTGGTCCCTGGAAAAGTTGGAACGGTCCTTTTGCATATTTCGATCCAAGGGAAACAATCAGATTGGTTTAGAACCGTTCTCCGATGTGGCGGGAGCTCCTGTGTTTATCCGAACGACCATTGCTGTATTGGCGGGCTTGGTTAAAACTTGTCCAAGCGCTGATGGTCATTTATCTTCACCCTTATCAAGTTTGAGTTGTACTCAAAATCATGGATGGGCTAGAACTACAGGGGCTCCCCGATTGATTGTTTTTATGCCTAGCTCAATCCAGAAACAGGTTCGGGCTGACAGATTCCCATGCGACTGCAGTTGTTTGGCTTTGGATCGACGATGGTTTTGATTCATTCAAATGCACCATCCAGGCAAGAGAACAGGAGATGTACGCAGTGTTGTTGTTCAAAGACAAGCTGCTTTGTTGAACATCCATTTTTTCCTGAACAGACACGCAAATGACATGACCCACCCGAGCAGATGCACCCTTGAATCACAAGCAAGGCAAGGTTGGGTCAACTGGCAACGTGATGTCCGCCTCAGGCGCTCAACTCTAAACCTACAAGGGGCTACATCATCATAGTGGTTGTGAGGAACTTGAATACCACATGTCCTCCTTGTCACAGCACAGTACCAGTAGTTCTATGGCCCCTGAAATGCAACACAGCTTGCTGTTTGGTGTGTTTGGGCGCCCCGCGTTTCGCCCGGCCCGCTTTTTTTCGCGTGCCATGGGCTCAATGCCTTGATCGAGCCGCGAGGCGGAAGCAGAAGCTTTTCTGCGCTGAGGTTTGGTATGCCCAATGTTACCCGCTGTTTCTGATTGAAAGTGGCTTGCCCTTTTTGAGATTCCCAAACATAGCAGCTGGGTGTGTAAACGTTCGATTCGAGGGTACCCTTTTCACCTTGGTTGGAAGGGAATGCAAAAGGAACGCCAGAGTGGGAGTCGTCTATTTTGACGCGCACCCGTATCTTCTCCAGTACTTCTTTGGACATGGGTTTGCATTTCATGGTTCGCTCGAATTTCCCCGTGGCAAGTTGGCTCCTGAGACCCCTCCGTCGTGTTGTCCTAAGGCCTTCTCGACCACATCAGGTGGAAAGAGCCAGGATGCTTACCGAACTGATCCCCAGAAAGGAATAATTTTACATCAGGTTCGCTACTGTTGGTCCATTGGGGCTTGACTCCCTTGTGATTTCTTCCTTTAAACAACCGCTATAAAGACACCAAATGACAAGACATGTCTTCCGGGACCCTTCAAATGCCACCCACGAGTTGAAAACTGGACCGCCCACAAGGCTCTCCGGCTGCCCGCTCTTCGCTGTTCTTCCTCTTCGCTCCTCTTCTCTCGGCTACTATTTTCGGAATCCCAGATTCATGTTGGTTCCAATTACGTAGTCTTTTCCGCACCATTGGCTCTGCTCTTCTCTCCGCTCTGCCCAGTCTTCGCTGCGCTCTTCTCTTCGCAATCTTCGCTCCGCCTTCTGCCCAGCTTTTTCCTCGCGCTTCATTGTCGTTCTTTCCTCCATTTTGTTTTGGCCCCCTAAAACTTTTGTGCAGTCTGCCGTGTGTTTGTGCAGTGTTCCTTGAAATCGCTTTCCGCTCGGAGGAGTTCCCCCTCTCTTATGTCGCCCTCGCACGGACGCTTTAGCTTTCGTTTGCCTTGCCTGGCCTATGTCGGTTCATTAGAAACAGAAACAGAGTGCAGCAGAAGACCGACATGGTGTGTCCCCCTTCAAGCTTCCCTTGTCCACAAATCAGCCCACGTCTGCCCGTCTGAGGCTGTTGCTGAACGTTGTAGGTGTACTAAGAAAGCTTGTTTCTAAACTGAGAAAGTATTGTTGCAATTGATCGTTTGCCCTCAAACCAGGACACCCAACCACGTCACTGATCTCTCACACATCTCGTCAGGCCATGAGCGCCATTTGGTGCGGCCCCGCGCTTGGTCGGGGTTCCGTTTGGTGGAGCCTAAATTGGGTTTGGTTACAGCGCTACACAGTCACTATATTACATACTCTCCCTCCATCATGGAAGCCACTTGCCTTTTGGGGAAGACTTCCATCATTGTTGGAATGAGGGTAAGTGTATTTTGAGTGAGGATTTGTTTTAGGGTAAAAGCGCAAGCAGGCACGCTGATGTTGCCCCCCAAAGAAACAGAGGGATGCTGACATGCTTGTGTTTGACGTGCCTGGCAAGCAACGTCACGGCTAGTTCAGAAGTGTTGTTGTGTGTCTCAAGATTTGGTTCACCCTTTGTGGGTGGTGTTTCATGGAATGCCAAAAAAAAGCAATAAGCTCAGGTGATGTCCCCAACAGCATGCGGTGCTCGTTTTAGTGCTCGCACCACCCCGCAGCCCTCGCAGAACCTCATGGAACCCTCGTGAAACCCTCGTGGAACCCTCGTGGAACAACCTTACCTCTCGGCCGCCCGGACCACCCCGGAGCCTATCTGGGCTGAGACCCCAAAGCTTTCAGCTGTTGGGGAACTTTGAGTAAAGACCCTTTCTGAGGTTAGAATGCTCCACAAGGCTTCCATAAAGCTTGAAAGGACAGTTTTACTTATCCATTTTCCAAAGTGCAAGTTGCTAATCCTTCTTCAGTCTCAATCCACTGCTACACTTCCTAGAAATATGTCCTCGCTGGTATGTGCAAGAACGTGGTATAGGTGTGTCCCAACATAGGCACCTCTCCAAATGATCGACTTGCTTTTGGTTTTACCTTCAACCACCATTCAATAATCACTTTCTTTGTTTGGGCCCCTCCCCTCCACACATACTATATTTTGTTTTAGTAACACTGACACCCACAGCTTCAGCTACAAGGTGATGGTATCTAACTAACATCAAATGCCAAGGAGGGGGACAACGCTTCAGCCAACTACCAGGAACCAATCAGTTGACACGACACGCTACACTGCTTGCACTATGCCAATATCATGCGGTCGGCTGTACGCACAAGACAAGTACAAAGTAGGGTTCCTTCTCACTTGCAGCGTTGCATTGCTGTGTTTTCTGCATCACTTTGACTCGGCTCATAGCTGGCCCACAGATCGCAGTGGAACAGTAGTGGAACCAAAGCAAGAAGCCACGCGCCTTTTTTGTGTTTTATTTGTCCAGCTCAAATCCCACGATAATCGCATATCTTCCTCTCACTAGCGCCGGCACAATGGTGCCTAGTAATTCCCTTGTCGGAGGGAGGGTAGCAAGTTGGTTTTACCATCCGAACATGAAAGCCACCGAGCAGAGGAGCTTGTCCAAAACACCCCAGTTGGATTCCAAGCGGTGGGAGGGGATTTCTGAATACTTTTCGTCACGTTCTATGTTCTCAGTTGCCGAAAGCTAACCTTTTGACTCTTGACCTTTTGGTGTTCCTATTTGGTCAGCGTCCCAAAAGGTTGACCTGCTATTTTCAGGTCCTCTGGGCAGGTGAGTGGGTGAGTGTTGGGCAGGAGAGTAAGAGTGAGTTCAGTGGCCTGGATGCACCCAGCAGCTGAGGCTGTCAATCAGGCATTTGCGCGGCTGCCTGCGAGCCAAGGATCGAAGACTTGCCAGAGCAAGGGCCTGCCTTGTCATTTTCAGTTCGGAATGGGTCAAATTCAAACCACCAGGGGGCCGCAGGTTTTGGTCCTTGGTTCCAGTGACCAGGGTTCCATGTTGGGGACCTATTTTCACCCACAGCCATTTTTCTTACAGTTGCAAGTCCAAACTCTGAACGTTCTTGTGAAGACCACCGAAGAAAACGGGGTTCAACCGTTCATTTTTCAGAACTTCTGACTCCATTCGATCGTGCATCGCGGGGTTTTGATTCAGAGCTGTTCGGCAAGCTTTTGCCTCCAAAGCGGCGGGTCGTCACAGATTCGTGGATTTGGGGGGGTCGTTGGATGGCTGGTAAGTGGGTTAGTCCTTTGAATGTGTGTCATTATGCTGCTTGCAGCTGGGGAGGCTCTGGCCTTGACACATAGAATTGGGGGGAGAAGACCCACGGACATGTTTGTGGTTCTCCCAAAAGTTGTCCCTTAGATTTCCAGAGCTCTAGTGTGGTTTTCCTTGAAATGATGAGGGTTCCAAAACGATTCGGGGTGTCAAAATCCGACCGTCAACCTTTGCCTTTTACTGGGTCGGCCGAGCTATTAGCTTGTTGGTAGCCCAGGTGACCCGAGGTCTCCGCCAAGGTCTCTTCAGTGGGGTCACCCCGTGTGGCTAACCCAAACCGAGGCCAAGGGCTCCAAGGAGCGGATCTCCGTCGCGACGCGGGGGCCCCAAGCTCGCGAGCCAGAGGCGCGACTCTGACGGCCGGCCGAAAGGCGCAACTGGGCGCCGAAAGGCGCGCGTCCCGCGTCGCTTTTTATCGGGTCAGCCCCCCAAACCAGAATTCAAATGGCCCGTTTTTGTGTCTGACGACATGCGTAATCAGTGCTGTGTGAATCGATTGTGAGTCTGGATGTTCAAAGAGTTTAAGTTCTTGGGATGCATGAAGGAAGATTAGTGATGGACACTAGGAGTTGGTGTCATGCTTGAAACACCCAGTAATAATGATGTCCACGAGTATATGCCCGATTGAGATTCATTCCCAGGTGATACTCTACTCTTTTGTCAGATTGACATGGAACTTTAACGAATATAGAGGATTGAATACTTTTCGGGTTCCCGGCGACCCATTGCTTATCTATCAAGGCTGCAGCGCGATTGCTTTGCCCGAAGCCGGCTTTGGCCAGAAGTTCTCGTTGCCCGGTGGAACCCTGTTCCTTTAAAACACAAAATGGGGGTTACCTTGAAACTCAACCAACCATGAAAGAGCCCCGATTTTTCCCTGGAAATGTACCGGGCTGCTGAGAAGTGGGTGTTGGACACTATCCATTCCACATGGCGCCGCGGCGCCACTGTCGCACTGACGGATTAGGCCCGAGTCCTGGCTTTTGCTCTCAAGCTAGACAGCTAGACTCTTCCATGCTAAACGAACGGATTATGCCCACTTAGCGCGTTGATCTAAGACTTTCCAACCACTATCTGCTTGTTCTTAACAGACTAGTCCCACCAATGTTGCATGATTTCTCTCCAAATGCGGGCTTCTTGCTTTTCAGGCATACTCTCAGCATTGTGCAACCCAATTGTATGTGTGCAAACCCTTGCCACTTTTGCCAGGTAAACCCTTGCCGGTGCAAACCACCATGGGGCAGGGGGGGTTGCAAGGGGGGGGGGGGAGGGGGTAGCTATAGCAGCTCACGGTCGAATGTATCTGATTTCTGTAGGAAGTGTATATATATAGTATACATGCACATGCCATACATACAATCATATGCATAAGATATACATGATCATATATATATATATACATATCATATATATATAATATTAGTACACAGACTCCTCTCCGGTTGGTGTGTTAGTGGACTGGACAACGATCCTGCAGACCAACTAAGATTGAACACAGGTGCATGTGACAACTATGATCGGTTACCAACTGTCAATGGCCTACCAAAATGCAGTTAGTCATTGCGGACCTTTCCACTTCGTTTATCCGCTTAACCAAGACTATTGCCGTTCAGCATCTACGTGTTGGACACACCGTTGTATTGTGGAAACGGGGGAACCTACAAAATTAAGCCTTGTTTTCTTTGAAGAGAGGTGTCGGAGAGACATCGCTCAAAGTTGCAAGAACTTGTCTGATGATTCTAAGTACCAGGAGATTAGCAAAACTCAGCAGCACCTTTCGAAAACATGCCAGGCCTTCGAGAGAACCAACACGAGGCACATGTTACGAGTCTACCTGGAGAGCAACAACCGTGTTTAGAGGAGCTTATACAAAATATACGCCAGGACTACTCCCAGTGCATGACATAAATCTGATTTATGAACTATGGCTTCGTGGATTGCTGGAACATGAGTTCTGAATGATTCATTGGAGTGCATGAGGATCAATAAGTCAGCAAGAACAAATACTTCGCTTCGAGCAATCCCCACCCTCCACACTCACGAGCTTGCGACCGTTGCAACAAATTCCTCCGCATCCTAGAGACTTCGACTCCAAATTCCCATCGGCCCTTGTGGACATCAAGCAAAACCAGACTAGCGAGCTGCTCTGGCAGGATACTGGCGGGATCCACTGGCGAATACTGGCGAGCCGCTCCGGCTCGATACTGGCGGGATAGATCCACCGGCAAGGGATACTCAGCGGGATGCTTGGCGGGATCCACTGGCGAGATTCGCGGGCGAGCTACTCTGCACTGGCGGGCTGCTCTGGTGGGATGCTCGGCGTGATCCACTGATTCCCAGTACTTGCTTTAGTATTGCAAATTCTGCTTTAGTATTGCCAAGGCTGACCCTCAGCTTCCCAGTAAATGCCAACTCTACTTTAGCATCGCGGGTCAGATTCCTAGCACTTACTTTACTATTGCCAATTCTACTTTAGTAGTGCCAAGGACCTGTTTTTCAGCAACCCCCAAACCGGTTAGACACTAACGAGGACCCCAAAACAGTCGCATTAAGAGGATCAGGGCCCCTGGTGGGCACCCCCCTTTGCGTGACTGCTTGCCCGTACTTTTTTGTAAAGACGTTATCTTAAATTTGATGGTTTGGGGGCCACTGGCAAAATGAACTTCCTAGATCCAAGGCCTTTTACCCTTTGAGCCGGGAAGAGCTTGGTTAGGTGAACCGCCCTAAAAGTAAAAGGCTAAGGCTTGAGTCTAATAATTTCAGCAACCTAAAAAGCCGTTGGACACTAAAACCCCGAAACAGTCACATTAAAAGAGGCTCAGGACCCCTTGTGGGCAACCCCCTTTGTGTGACTGTTTGCCCGCACTTTTCTGTAAGGAAGTTATCTTAAATTTGATGCGTTGGGGACCACTTCAAAAGATCCTGTTTGCCCGGATTTGTTTGCTCGTTTTTTTTGCTCGACTTCTTTGCCAAGTTTGTTTGGCCCATATTTTATCAGAGGCTTAGCCCCAGACAAGATCAGGAGAGTTAGAAAAAGAGCACTTCTTTCTGTTCTTTTTTTGGGGGGAAATATTGCTGCAATTAGAACCCCAAAACAGTCACAGATCCTGAATCGCGAGACAAATTTGCTACAATAGAGTGGACTATTAATATACAGGAGGTGTAACATCACCCGGCCGAACCCCACAAATCTTTAAAACGCTTAGCTCCCCAGGAAACTGACCACCAAACCAAGGAACCAGGATCGCTGGTGCACTCGCTTCACACGGACACCCTACACGAAGCCTAAGCAAGCACAAAAGATCAGTGGATCATATTTGGTTGTTGCTGGTGACAGCAAGTAAAGCTTCAAAGTGCATTAGAGTTTAGACCTCCTAGGGACCCAGATTGGGAGAGTCCCCCTTTTAAAGCACTGTAAAGCTTCTCAGGAAGCTCGCAAAGCCTAAGTAGGATCAGTGGTTGTACTTGAACTTTGCTGGTACCCCCAAATATGTAGCGCCTAGCCACAATATATATATATATATGTGTATATATATGTATATTATTATGCATATATCGTAAGTTGTTTTCCTGGGCGTGCACTGCTGTAACCCAGTCCTCCCGTGCACACGGCATGCTTCAGGACCAAGTCGTTTTGCTCGACCAGATCCACGGAGCGTGCTTCCACACCACGTGCCACCGATGTGGTTGTTTTCATCGGCTCGTCGCACTTCTTCTAGAATCCGCAGCACGTAGCATTGAGGGGCAGCGACTAGATGCTTGCCAAAATGTAGATCCAATGATCATGATATTTTGTTTGATAGTACCCCGCATCATGTGTTCGGCCCTTGCAGTATGCTGGTGGCCTGGCTTCAAACAAACTCGTTTGGGGATCGAAGTTTACTTGGTCGGTTGCCTTTTGGCAGCAGAGGATTCGATATACAAGTGGGTTCCCTTGCAATGAATGGTGCAGGGAAATTTGAACATATGTGTAGGCGTAGACATAGATTATAAATATATAGCTATATTAGTGTATGTACATATATGTATATATACACGAACCATTTTGTACGTACATATTATATGTATATATATGTATATATTATACATATATATATATATATACACGAGATTCCCTACTAAGGAGCCCCTGCAGATACATCTTCCCCTGCTTCTCCTGCTTCCCGGCTCCCGCTTGGCGGACATGATTCCTTTGCCTCCAAACGGCGTAGCCAGTGAACAGCTACATCCAAACACAAAACCCTGGTGACCAGTGGGATTCTCCTTGTAACGTTTGGGCGTGCCTTCTTTTGAGAAAATATGTTCTACTAAAACAGGTTCAAAGGAAGCCACCCATTTTGTGGAGTAACCCCCAGCGAATCCGGCTATGACCAGCCTTGTTGCCAGGTACCGCTTCTTCTCCCAAGAGCCATGAGGCACGGCTGGGCCCTTGCTTATGCATGTTTCGCTTCTTTGGTTCTTGAACAGACGGTTCCCCTCAAGCCTAGGCCTGTTCTGCTGGAAAGTGTGTGTTTTCTGTGTGCTTTTGGCGGTTTCTCCCTCAAAGTCAACATTTGAGAGTTCTTAAAGTTTTTTTGGGGATGGGGCACTCTGTTAGGACCATCATCTAGAGCGTCTTTTGAATGGCTCCGGTATGAGGAGCTTAATGATTGCTAAGAGTTTGTTCATATGATAGTGACTGAGTTTGGAGAACATAGCCCACAAGTCAAACATGTTAGGCCCTTCCACACCCGTTGTCCCGCTTAGCGGTGGCAGGGTCGGGTCTAATCCAGTTTTGCGCCACACTGTCCTGAGGAGATTTGACTGAATGGGGGCTTGACAAGCCACCTTGGAATGGTCGCCATATGTTTGTTTCGTCCTTTTATCAGAACGGGCTATGTTGACCATACTGGTAGGTTTCAATATAACTGCAACTTTCAAGAAGGAGACTGAGGAACCCTGAGGATCAGGTCTTCCTTGTTCGCCAGGAGACACCTGACAAGTCCCCGGACATCGACGACGAAGTGTGCCGCTCCCAAGATCGCCGGTCCTGACAGGGCCTTCATATTGGGCCGTGGGCCCCTCATGTTGAAATATGTGAGCGTGTCATAGGTTACGCAAGTTTTAGTTTTTTTTCCATTTACCAAGGTGCCATTTTGGACACCAGTTTTTCAGCCACAGCCTTCAAATAGGGATTTTTTCAAATGGGTGGGTTTCTTTTTTGGTTTCCCGCGACAAAAGACAACGGTGACTGATGGATCTGGAGCCCCTGCACAACTGGAGTGACATGAGTCTGCCTTCATTCTGGCAAGCTCACCTGCAGGGAAACGTGACGTAGGGCTGCCTTTTTTCTCGAATTTGCCGATACTAGGTCATGTTGCGAATGACTCCACTTGGCAGATTAATCCAGCTGGGAGCTTTCCCAAAAAGTGGAGACGGACCCCGTCCCAAGTAGCACAGGCCGCAAGAAACCACGCATGTTGCGCTTTCTCCAATAACAATCACAGAAGGTGCTGGGGCCTTTTCAAGAGGACTGCTTTTGTAGAGCCTTCTGTCAGCTTTCATGATGTTTGCCTGGATTGTTCAGAATCAATCAATCCTAGTGCCAGATGGTCGGTGTCCCACGCTGGATCGCGGAACATCGTATTAGTTTTGACCACGGCGGACCACGAATCACGGCCCTTTTGAACAACGTAGCTGGAGAGCGTTATCATTTGGCTCGGGAACACGGGCTTGAAAGTTTGTCTCGTGGTTTGCTTGCCCATGAAAAGGGACGCAAAGACACACACATGAAACCAACACTCACTTTCCTATTGCTTTCGGGCCACCCGTGGTTCTAGTTGAGGGGCCCCATGTTTGGTTGGTTTTAAAGGGAAACGAAAAGGACAATCACCATTTTGCGGGTCCCCCCAAAAAGACCCCCGCAGTGAATTTGAATTGGGATTCACCTCAACAGTGTTGGACATGAATCCCCACCAAAATGATGTCCACCAGAGGATCCCCAATTAAGATGTATGCCCATTTTTGTTGAAATCATGAAGGTTCACTGGTCACTGAGCGTGAACCAGAATTAAACACATTGTGTTGGCTCGGGGCACAAGCTGCGGAAATGTTTGTTGACATGAACGGCCATTTGTGGCGAAAAGAGGTTGAACGTTTCTGGGTGAAGCAGCCCTCCATGATTCCGCCAGTTTAGTTCATGTGCCAGGCCAACTTTACATTGAAAATTCAGCAACTTGAACTACACCATGTCCTAAAAGGCATTAAACTAAATGGCCATGGCTGGACTGGACCCGTTTGCGTCTGGCGTGCCAGTTCATTGCAAAGCAGCGGTAATGGTGGTTCAAATTGTTGGTGCTGAGTGTGGTCATGTAACACACCTGTCGGGCGTCAAGCATGCGCAGCGCCTGTTCACCCCAAGCACTGCCTTGCGCAAGACGGACCTCGACAAGCCGACCCGCTCCTGGCTAGAGAAGCAGGCGAAGTCCAAGCACGCAGCAGTCAAGAGCTACAACAAGCACTTCACATGCGCTGCTGGTGATAACGTGGCGGAGAATTGGCTCGGGGCTGTGCGAAGCGGGTCACTCGGCGGGTTGGTGCTTTGGGTGGAGGTTGGAAGCAAAAGGCCAGGAAGTCAGTTGCCGCTCAGTCCTCCGCAGCTTTGCTTCGCGAGGCAGGCCTGTTCTCTGTTTTGCGTGCGGCTTAGATGTATAGGCTAGCGTGCAGTGAGGGCATCGTATCAATCTCTCCATCAGATGCGTTCAGTTATGACAAAGCTCAGTGGCTCTATGGTGAAGATCCGGGCAAGCAGGTGGAATCCTGAGGAAAAGTGGACCGCAGCGGCCGAATTCCCGCACGGGCCGCAGGCGGCGGGCAAACGTAGGATTCCCAGCGAATAAGTAGATGGTTCTGGTTGACCTGGTTGTTTCATACTCTGCCACTTATCTTCCAAAAAAACACCTATGGAGAGCCTTAGGTCGAAGATGCTGAGCCGCTTCCGCGGCGCTGCTCTGCGAAAGCCCGTCCGGGCGCTCGGATGATCGCGCGGACCGTTGGCATGACACGACAAAAATGCTCCGAACCTGAGGAAGATGGGTAAATTTGGGTATGGGTCAAAAGTCAAACTTTCAACCACCAGCAAACCGCAGGTTTCAGTCCTTGGTCCAACTTCTCAGGGTTCATTTGGGCCAGTGTGGTTCATTAATGCCGCCTTCGGCAGAGAATCGGGTTTTTTCCTTTTCTGACGATCGGGTCTTTGGAGCAAGCCGCGAATATTTCACACTTTAGATTACGAGCTTGTCTTCAATAGCCAAAAAGGAGAAAATCGACCCATAGCGTCTCTCATGTTTTTGTTTGTTTTGTTCACGTGCGCTAGAGTCCAGCAGTTTCCTGCCTGTCGGTTCGAGTGGTTTTGACGCATTTGATTTAGGTCATTCAGCGCTTGGGTGCTGGCCAATACGACGTGGACGGCCGCTTTGTGAGGCTGGGATCAAAGCGTTGCGCAAAGTAGGGTGTGATTTTCAGACTAGTTACTGGGCAGTCAAAAAAAGTTCGGATGTTGGTACCCTCCCACGGACAAACATGGACATGTATTCCTATAGTTGTTTCATTGTTGTTTGGGAAGGTAAGAAGGGCGGGCCAGCAGACTAAGCAGGACAAAGCAAACAAAAGGGTGTCGCAACCACACCTATGATGAAGGTTACTTTGATAGTGCGCCCTTATGTTGGGTTGAGCAAATTCTCATGTGCCAGAGATTCGGTATCGGTATGGGTGTTTCAAAACAACGAAGCAGGAATTGGACAGCCAACAATGCTCGGCATTTTGCTTCCCTTTTGAACCTTGGGGACACCCCTGAAAGCAAACTGAAGCCGGATGTTTTTCGAATCGCGGCCGTGGACCTGGTTTGCGCGGATGATTTCATGCCGATTTGCTGTTCACAGTCCTTTGTGTGCAAGCTAGCTTCAATTTGACAGCCATGCTGTGCGCGTATTATGCAGGATTACGATCCCCACCGCAGCCATGTATGGAGGGGATGGCATACCCCCAAAAAAGAAACAGTTCCATCTTGCCTTGGCTCTGCATGGAAGAGTACTTGGGTTTTCGGCCAAGTTATCAAGTTGTTAGTTAGTGTCTATCTTCTAACCGTTTCGAACATCCCCCCTCTTGTCGTTGGGTTATAAACCAATTGGCTAGCCAATTACTAACTTGGCCGAACATCCAAGCAATACACTTTATTATCGCTTGGTAGTTTGGCATCAGTGAGAGGGTTCGCACAGTGCGCTACATCCTGGTGTTCCTTGTAAAGCCTTCGGCGAAGCCTACTGACGAATCCCGCACAGTATGAAGCTTATATCCATGGAGAGGGGGGAGGTCCCCACCCCCCCCCCCGCCCGTAAATTCCCGAAGGTATTTCCCGCCAGGATCAGCCGGAGCGAAGACCAATCCTTAGTCGTCCACGAGGAGCTGCATGTTTTGGAAGTTATTGGGGCTTGGCTGAGTTTTGTGGAAACCTGGAACTGGTGAGCCCCTTTTTGGCGGATTCCTGAAAGTGGGGTTTGATGGCTTCTGTGTAATCACCTCTTATTTCAGTTGGGCCCTTTATACAGTCTCTTTCACATGAAACGGTGCTTTAACTTCCAGGGGTGGATCCAAAACCGTTTGGAGGGATGAATTACAAGGTGCAACCAGGCTTCCGTCCTTTTGATTCCCGAGGTAGACTTAAACCCTGGGTTTTCCCGGTTGGGACATTGTCAGACAATACTAAGCATCTACTATGGGGCAATCAAACATAGAACCCAGTGTTAGGTAATTGTCTTGGCGGCTCGTCCGAAGTCAACCACTTGCGCCTGCACCCTAGTTGATTCATAGCGGGATCGAGTCTTACTGTATGTATCCAAAAGGCTTGTCATTCCGGCGTCAACTTTACTGCTCCTGGAGAAATTGGGGTTGATGATTCCTCGCACGTCCCCAGCGTCACGTAGTACTGACGGTCTGAATATCGGAGTACATAAAAACACAAATTAAGTCACGGCCATTGTAGCAAAAGGCTAGCAAATGTGTAGTCATTGTCCCTGATGTTGGTAAGTTTCCCTTGAAACCTTGGACCGGCAGTGCACAGCGAGCCACGCGCAACAACGCGCATCACTGCAAAGTGGAGAGGTGTTATGCAGAAGGCCTTTATGACCATGATGAACAGTGCCAAAAAACCTCACCACCACCAAATATGGATTGAGCACATGTCAATGCGATCCCACGAATCAGCACACCCCCTGTTCATCAATACGGCACTCGTCCAATTTCAGAGTGTTTGTTTTTTTGTTTGGGGGGACACATAATCCGGCAGGTTGATTAATATGTGGGGTTAACATTAGCACGCAGACTTCAAATTTAAACGAGCAATCATGTCCGGTTGAAAGCGGTAACAACTGTGGACTTCCATTTTTGTGGAAGGATAAGCAAGGAGTAGAAGGAATGCAGAGTACATGCGTAGCTTCAAGATGTCTTACTTCGGGCTGGGATAGCAAGCCCCGTAATTCAAGAACGGATGACAGGACACGACGGAGCCACTTGATGAATTGGCCTTGAAGCTAGTAGCCCCACTGTCCCGCTGAGGCGTCGTTGCCCCCAGTTTTCAGAAGCGTCTTCGCGACACGAAATCATTTGCCCCTCGCACGACGAATTGCCATGTTTGCCTAGTCTCTTAGGCTTCCGGTCCAGTATCTTTGGTGGTCTTCAGAGCTAAAGGGAAGCCGATCCGTTCGGGGCTTACCAGAGCCACCGGAGACCCATGCGCCTCCGGTGTTTTATTATCGTTAGGACTGCGGCATCCAAAGCAAGGTAGACTTTGAAACCTACCTCGAGCAGGCGATGCTGCGATTTGCCTCGCTATTGAAAGCGTGCTTGTGATTTTGAGGGTAGCGTTTTCAGGTATTGAGTTTAAAAGGCCGGAATTCAAAATGAACAAGACTTGTCGCAAAGCCCTAGCGCAAGACGAACCCATTTCGTGCGATGTAGCTTGGCAGGACATGATGTGGTCAGTTTACATGCTGCTCATCGCTATAGTTCTTGCTTTGCACCACTAGTGGGAGAAGTATAAGCCGGTCTTTTTTGAGGGTACCTTTTTGGGGGCATTCAAAATAATGGTGTTTGTTGATGTTAATTTGCCTAGCAACCTGGGCAAAGAATGCGATCCTTTGGCTCAAAACACCTGCATGAGCCACATATATATATATATATATATATGTATATATATACACATGTTTGTGTGTGTGTGTTTTTTTGTTTCCGCATATGTTCTTGTTTTTGTTGCAGCATCGCCCTTGTCACGCCCTGACATTGAGAAAGTTGCTATGCGAATGTCACCTTTGCATGCGGGCATGCTTACCCTGATGGCAACTCGGTGTCAATCTGCGGACACGTGTTACTGCTCATTCTTCATGTTGAAGTTTCGAAACACATGATTCCTGAGATCTTACGTGCTGCCTGTTCGTTGAGGACCGACATATGAAAACCCTGGACCAGGCAGTTGTGCGTTTTTTGCACCGTATGGTCTACGTGTGAGCAACTTCGATTGGATCGATTATTTGGGCACGTCTTTTTTTTCTGGCGACTCCCTGTTGGTGCAAAGGGAAACCGAAAGGCACCTACAGTAGTCTGAGGCAGACTCATATTTGAGGAGCAATGCCTAAAGCGTTTGAGGTGCGTCGTGAAATCCTGTCAAACCCCTTCCGAAACTACCCCAAGAGGGCATCCTTACAACGGACACACTCTTTCTGGTTTGTCCGTCGCATTATACATGCGCACTGCTGAGTCTCGAAGGTTTATGGAATCTTTTGGACGATGATCAGTTTGCTGGCGGATATGATCCTTCAATGGCTCGATGCTACACAGCGTGTGGAAGCAAGAGGGGTGTTGGGACACTCCCGTATTCCTTACTAAGAAGCAGCATGTGGACCTGTTTGAGGCTTGGCATTGCTGCACGGTTGTTGACCAACTCATCCATCCGCAGTCACAGGGTGAGGGTGAGAGTCTGCTGTGAATCTTCGACATCAGAATGCATGTCATGAGCTCCATTCAAACACATGTTCGCATATGATGATTGAATCTGCATCATTGCGGTACTGCGAATGTTAGATGCTTTTGCCAAAGCCACTGCATGTGCTCAATGAAGCTGCTTTGTATCAATAGAGAGCGAGTCGTAGAGTTTGCAGGCTGATCGTCAGCTTGTATTATGGTGTTGTGCAATACCAACACTGTACCTTCACTGACATACCGCACCAAAGAAGTATGTTTCGGGCGGCGAATCGGATCCTACGCTTCGCTCGTGAATCGGGCCTGCGCTGATCGGCTCAGCTAGCGGCGCAAGGGCCCAATGTCGGTGTCGAGACAGTTGGCAGCGAACTCCTGCATGCGTCAACCGGTTTCTGGTATGCAGATTGTCGCTTATATTTGCAAATGCTCGATTTGGAAAATATTCCGAACAAGAAGTAAGGCCATATGTTTTTTGACGGGCCTCTTCCTTGGGCCAGACTAGTATCGAGGTCCAAACCTCCGCATGAACAATTACTGACCCACAGCCTCCAGGGCAGCATTGTGCAAAGCAAGCTTCAGACACAGGCCACACATAGCTTGAGGCAATCCGAATAAGCGTGCATGCTGGATCGAATGCAAGGCCAGCCCGAGCGGGAAGGGATGGGAGGATGGCAAGAAGGGAGGGAGGGAGGGAGAGCGATCGAGAGAGAGTCTGATCGCTGCACGTGTTGCGGGCTTAATGGACGGTCATCATGATTGTGTGCTTCGTCTGAACAAACCTTCATATGGATAATGCTAATCACGACGCATTGCTTCCGAATGTTCCAAAGTGGCAGCTGGCATTTCTCGCAGGTTCAGCAATTATAAGCTCTGCGTATTGTATTGTCAGCTTTCCTGGCGGTATATCGAGCTGTAAGGTCCTTTACTTGGGGTTCCCATATTTCACGTTTTGGAACGACAAACAAATGCAGATAAATTGTGTGATCCTTGTGCAAACATAAAGTCAGAGTCCCATAGGTGTTTTGCTCTCAGGACATGGCATCAATGGCGCGACGCAGCCGCTCGATGCTCACGGCCTGCCAGGCCGGGCCAGGCCAAAAGTTTGGCCGCAGTCACCTTGGTACAAAAACCAGCTCACCAGGAATATATATATATATATATACACATATACATATATGTATATATATATGGGTGTGGCTCAAAATTAAGGAGCTAGGGTTACGCAGGCTTTTGTCTTGGGTTCCATTTACCAAGGTGCCATTTTGGTACATTTATTTGAGCCACAGCCATATGAAGTAATTAATAATCAGTTCGTCATACCAGACCAAAAGCGCAGGCTGATTGCCGGATATGCATGTTTGAGGCCATGGATTTGTTGTACTTAAGGCTATGTACTGCCTTTCAGAGTGTATGTTGGTAGGCTTTCCTACTTCCACGTCCATACCCGTTCAATGATAAATAACCCCAATTTCCAACAACACTGAGTTTGCTCTTTGTGTTGGCTGGTGGAGAACCGAGCATCCGTAGACTTTGGTCTTGCAAAAAACAAGCAACTAAGATAACCAAAAGAGAATGTCCATTGAACAATCCACACATTCTGTGCTACTTCCTGAAAGTTCAACAGGTGGCGCCCAAGACAATGCAGACCCCCTGTTTACCGAGAACACAGCCCGGTCTTGTCCATTTGAGGGGGCGTTCCTTTTAACCAACAAAAGCTGGCCTTGTCCCCTGGGCTTTTGAGAGGGAGCGACGGAGCACCTCCGATTTTTTTTTTGCATCGGATGCCGAGGGACGGTCAGTAAAGCACCGTTGCGGCAGCCCCCCGCGAAAAAGCGTTTTGGTCCCTTGAATTACCTGCTCCCAGTGCTTGAAGAAGGCAATAGAGACGCTGGCCAGATCCTTGCAGATTCTTATCCAGCGGTTGGGCTGCAACAACCGGTTTTTGACCAAAAGGACAGTTCGTTCAAGCAGGCTTTTGTGCACAAAACCATGTTTGTCAGTGGCACATTCGGACAGTGTGAACAATAAAATATGAAGATCATGCGAACCGCGCGATGCTATGCAGCAACTTAGCCTGTTGTTTGTTTGATGAAACAGGTTGATAACCAGCATTCAAATACGCGATGTGTTCGTTGGATCCTTGTTTACCCTCGAAATTCCGCCCCCCCCCCTGCCCCCCGCCTCAAAAGGTAAAAGACATTGCTTGGGACCTTTTCGCTTTGTTCCTTGGCCTTAAACCTGTCAACGGTAACATGTAATTACAGCCCTTGAAGGGTGTAACTGTGTAAACCCTTCAAATCTCCGCCCAACTTGTCAACCCAAGATTGCTCAAACATGCTTCCTATCCAGCCAGTAGTTTGCTCCCTTGTTGTTTGTGCGTAGATTCAGCTGCCATAACTGCCTACAAAAGGGTGCTCCTGTTTTTCCATCGCGACCGGGGGTTTGCGGTCTTGATGAGGGCTGGGCAAGCAGAGAGATGAATCGTGACATGTGGGAGCTGGGAGATGAAACGATTGCAATTTGGGTCGATGTGAATTTGTTCTCTGGTTTAGGATTGGTTTTGCTATTTGCCCACTTTCAACTGAGCATTCTAAGTGGTTTTGGATTTGGGAACATCAGATTGATCAGGAGCATTTGAATTCTATTAGTAGGGAGAAGAGATTGCCAGGATTTTGTGGTTGGATGTGATATGATGTGGTTGGTTCCGTTGAAGTGTTTCGATAATTTGCAGTTCTGCACAAACGAGGGTTGTTTCAAAAAGCGGATGCCCTTCTTTTGGACTATGTGCTCCCATCAAACGGGACAATCCAGGGCATTCAATTGGGACTGTCATCATGAACAGCCCTTACAGGATGCTTCTGAACTCTGCGCTGTACCCAGCAATGTACCAGGGTTTTGTGGTTGTTCCCGTACCCGACCAGCTGGCAGTTTGTTACCTGGAACCTGTTTCTTCGACCCCCAACCTGTTGCTGCCCATGCACCAAACGGTAAAAGACAAACTGATTTGGGGTTGGAAAACAGAGTCCCCAAGAATACGTTCAGGCCGTGCTGAAAATCATGTTAGCTGTTTGGAGGATCGCCTGGTGAAATAGGTGGGTGCGCTCAAAACTGCTGGTTGTTTATAGTGTATTCAAAAGATCATGGGAAACTCACGCATTGTCCCATGTTCTTTCAAGCCTTTTTGGTTTCTGGGGATCTTGATCCCTGACTCGGGAAGCCCCGTGTTCCGGTCAATGGGGATTCACCAGGCGTGGCCCTTCCGCCCGGAGAAGGAACAGTTTGAGGCGCCGGACCGATGGGAGATGGTGGCGGTTGAACAACGGTTGAGTCGCGCGGAGGCAGTTTAAACCGCAACGTTTCGGCTTGGGAATGCAAACCCGGCTGAACACAGATAAACTTCTTCTTTTGGAGGTTTGTTGGCTTAGCCAAAAAGGCGGACACCCTGAACATTGGTGCAAATTTACATGGGGGAACCCCAAAATGGTGATGTTCATGAGTGGTTTCCAAATTTGATAGTGTGTTTGACGATTTACTTGAACACGGCACAAAAAGAGTACCCTCAAAAGTGGTGTGCCCGAACATGACGCAGCACGTGACAAAGTATGGCGGCGAGGGGTCTGAGTTTGGTCAAATGTTTTGAACTTGTCAATTTAAAGCCCATGAAGAGTGTTCCTTTGTTTCACCCACGCGCATATTTTTGTTTTTGAAACTAATTGACTTATAATTCACCCACGCGGGTGCTGTTTTTCCTTGAGGTGTAAACACATCCCATATTTGCGGCTGCCGTTTTGTAATTTGCTTTTCATGTTCAAGAGAAATGCTTGATAATTGTT